AGTTCAATCGACCTTGGTCATAGTTATAGGATAATTCAGAACTTAGTTTCCAGTTGTCAACCGCAGGACTGAGAACTCTACGCCAAGCGCATCCTGTGCCTCCACCAAATCTCAGGAGTGTGTGCGTGTCACGAAGGGCATGAATGATTTACCGCGGGGCAGCAATGTCAAGAGTAGGTTGTTGGCCATTGCTAGTAGTAGGTTGGAGTGCACTTTGGTCAGGTGTTTGCAGGTAGGAAGAAAGTACGCACGATTCTCAATTAAAGAGCTTGGAAAATGATGCATGATGCCCAGTCGAGGGATCTCCTAATAAGGCCCACAGAAATGAGCATTGTTGCATTTTTACGAAAGCCAGCCTTCGTAGAAGGCGCTAGCGGAGTTGTGTCTGGCGAACGAAGTGAGTAGTTAGGGGGTCTGGGGGGGTGGCCCGAGAAAGGTATACGTCAACTCAGCACATGCTGGGGGAGGAGGGTGCTCCGAGGGACGGTTTTTTGAGGTTGTGTTGGAGGTGATTTTTGAGGGGTGGTGATGCAAGAAATGCCAAATGCATCATTTGCATCATCTGAATGGAAAGGTGTAGTTGGCACCTTGCAAGGTAGAGAGACCTAGGGTAGCTATAGTGCAGCTACCAGGTATAGTACTTCAAGTTCCCTTTCCGTCAACCGCTTGAGAACCTCTACACACGCACAGCAATCCACAGCCTTGAAGTCTCATTCGTGCTTTGAACTTGTATAGGTGTGTAAGAGGTATAGCAACATACTATTTATACGGACCCAGGGTAGCTACAAGTAGCTACAGTTCTGGTATGGCGCGCATGAGGCTTCAAAGCTGTGGTTTTCAAGCTAAAGTCAAGGTGGCCTGAGACCAGGGTTTGCTGCCCTAAAACACTCTGTTCAGGCCACCTTGAAAATACAGGTGTAGTTGGCACCTTGCCAGGTATAGACACCCAGGGTAGCTATGTAGCTGTGGTTTTCAAGCTAAATTCAAGGTGGCCTGAGACCACGGTTTGCTGCCCTATAAAACACTCTGTTCAGGCCACCTTGAAAATAAAGGTGTAGTTGGCACCTTGCCAGGTATAGACTCCCAGGGTAGCTATGTAGCTGTGGTTTTCAAGCTACATTCAAGGTGGCCTGAGACCACGGTTTGCTGCCCTAAAACACTCTGTTCAGGCCACCTTGAAAATAAAGGTCTTGTAGCTACAATTCTGTTCCCAGGTATGGCGCGCATCAGGCTTCACAGACAGTGGAAATAGCTTCTTCCCGGCTTTGCACTGCGAATCAGCCCCACAAAAGCGCTGGCTTTCGTTTTGCAGCTTCTCAGGTTTGAGGGTGTTGGGGGAGCCGGAGTCTTCGCAGGTGAGAGACGATAGAAACATATAGAAACACCGATTGTTACTATAGCAACTGGGGTTGCAATTGGTGTGACAAGCACTCCGGACTGTTGTGCCTACGCGCATGTTGTAGAATCGTTTAATTGTTGCCGGTGACATTGGGATGTTTTGTTTCCTCCTTTTGGGTCAGGAAACGCTGGATGATTGAAGGTCACATCAGGTCACCAAAATGTCAACTCCTGCTCGCTCCTGCTCATGAATTCCTTTGCCAGCAGGCAGCGGAAGAGAAAACAAGCTCCAAGCCAGCCCGCCAGACGGAGGGGCATGATGCTACTTGGGGTTGTTGACTGACCGACTTCCGACTGCGACTCCCTCCCAGAACACCTTGACACAACTAGACGGACGCTACAGGCCCACTTCGCCCACTCGCGGTTTGTGCGGGGCCTCAGGCATGAGTGAGGAAGCCAATGCCCCCAGACTCTTGCTGGCATGCTCTTTGTATTCACACAGTCAACACAGGCGTGTCCTGCCTGCCCCAAACGGAAAGCCGCTGTTTGTTTGCCTTTCGCGTTGGAGATGTTTGCAGTTCTTGCTGAGCTCCCGGGTTCCGCAGCCCCAGAACTCCCACAAGTCACATGGCCTCAGGGCTTGGTGCGACATCCATGATGACGAGGCATGGCCCTGTTAATGTGCTTTGTACAAGCACGGTGGAACGTATGTGGTCCTAAGTGGTGGGGTGCAATAGATTTTTGCAAAGGAAAGGGGGACAGCAAAAGAAGGAGAGATGAAGGAAGGAAGGTCAAGCCCAAGTCAAGCCCTACAAAAATGGACAGGCTGTGAGAAGGATGGCCATGCATGAAAGAGTGCAAGAAAACAAGCATGCGCACCTTTCGCCGGAGGAACCATGGAGAAATCGATGCCACACATGTGCCATTTTGGCTCTAATATGCTCTAATCCAGTTGACTCTCTGCAGCTGCACACATACCCATCGGCTTAACCTGAGGAGTTGCTGGTCAGAATTTAGCCTGCATGAAGCTTTTGGATGGCCTCGAGCGGCACATCATCCTGACATATCCTGACACAATAACTTTGAGCCAGCCAGGAGCCATTTTTGCTTTCTGAGGTAACTAGTGAAATGCGTGAAATGCAGAAATCCTCCCATGTGAAATGCCTGGCCCCGGAAGTCCCATGGCTGCATGTCATAGAGGCACTCATCCATAAGTTTTTTTGAGGTTGACAACAACTACTTCACTTCAACATACTTCAACCATCGCTCCAAGCACTTTGAATTTCCTGCATGTGTTTATTGCTGTGATCCCCTTGCTTGCGCAGCATGGCGAATTGCCATGAGCACGAATTGCAGGTGCCAGGGCAGAAGAAAAGCTTCAAACACTTAGCCACTGCATGCCACTGCAGTCACAGAGAGCAGGGCGGAGAGCATGAGGCATGCTCACATACATTAAGCGGCACTCAACCAACACCACAGGATACTACAGGATGTGTGAATCTGTTTACCTTACCTACCTGTCCTTATTTTTATAGCTGGCAATGACAGATACCGCTGATACCAACGTCTAAGCCTTTCCGCTTTTGTTTGCTCATTTTGATGGTTGTAATGGTAAGGCCTATCCAGCTGCTGTTCCTGCTGCCACTGCTGCTGCGGCCTCTTGCCAGCATATACCTTCTTGGCAAGGGATGAAAATCACAGACTGCCACAGACAATAAAACATGTTGGCAGTGTCTTGAGAGAATGACATTCAGACACCCAAGCGCTTACAGTAGATTGAAGGCTTGGGCAAAGTTGAGTCAAGCTTTCAAGTGTGTGGCAGGCAGACCGGCGGAGGAGCATGCTGGACCATCTCAATTCCAGTAGCCAGTCGATAAAGGCAGGAAAGCGAGCCTGGCATGTCATCTTTTTTGAATTGAAGCCGATTTAGGGTTTCTAGCTCCAGAGGTCAGTTGAAACTAGGCGCTTCGAATGTCACTTTTGCGCCAGGTCACCGGCCCATAAACCTCCCAAAGATCCTCATTGATGCCACTGATGTCCTTCTCGAATATGCTCAGTATTTTGGAGCCAAATCTCCCGCCCTTGAAAAAGTAATGCAAATAATTATACTGGGCGCTGATGACTTAGGAGTAGTTGGTACTAGTGAGTCAGGAGTGTCCTCCAGCAACTCCCATGTCACCGCACAAACAACAGCAAAACAGAGGGATACTACCCAGAGTGCAACACGGATGACATAGGAGTCGTACAGCTGCCAGGCACCCATGTCATGAGGAATGCCAGCTAGCGAGCTCCCCCCCCAAAAAAAGCAGGCAAACCACCTGCCACACCCTCCCAATGCATATGAGTTAGGAAAGCCTCAGCTGCACAGACCTTACAAAAACGCAAGTCATTTGTCCCCAGCAGTGTTTTTCTCTTCTGCCCGGATGTGCCTTGGAAATGACGAGAGACAGACATGGAAGCATCTAGATCAGATCTCCAAGAAAAAGCTTTTTCAGCTGTCTCTTTTAAGCAAATTCACTGCTAAACGGAAGGAATGAGCGCAGGTGATTGGACCCCAAACAGTTGAAAACAATGAACCATGGAGACCGTGGTAACCCATGACTAGGGACGTGTGAACCTATGACTTCAGAAACAATGAACGGTGAACCTATGACTTGGGACTTGTGGAGAACTGCTAAGGTCACCTATCAGACACATGAGGTGAGATTTCTGGGGCACTTCAAACACGAGCACTCACCTTGCAGAGAGACTCGCATGGCAGCACCTGGAAAACCAAACATCTTCCAGAAACAGGCTCCATGAGTCTATGGCAGTTGGCCTACATGCAATCGAGACACAGTGAGCACAGATGCTCAGTAACACAGCGTACGCCGAGAGGTGTTGAGTCCCCGAATACCCGGTAACAAGAATTGGTGGAGCACATGACATAGGAGGTGTGGCTACAGAAGTCACTGTATCTCACCAAGATCATGCAACTGAGCAAGCCACACATCAACATCCGGTGGATTACTCTCAACATAGCATTGGATACAATGCTTTAAGCATTGAATCAGGCATCTCTTTGCGATGAGAGCCCCAAGAAGCAGTCTTGATGCCACTGCCTGGGAAGCGGCAGCTCCAAAAATTGCCCGCCGGGTGGCGGTTGACTCCACATCCTTGCAACGGAGGTATCCTCACTAGGTATTCGCCTTGAGCAACCAGCTCTTGCCATTCAGGAGACAAGTGGAACATCTTCATGGTGCTCCCAGAAATGCCAGCTGTTCCACCTGAAACACCTGGAGGAGGAGCGCTTCCTCCCTCGACATGTTCTGGCTCAGCATCAAACAAATCAATGTCACCTGTGTAGTCCTCCAAGGAGCAAGTTGAGCTGGCATCATCTTGAAGCTCGTTGTCGAACATGCAGGCCTCCACGTCTGAAGGCGCTTGAAGGCCATCATGCTGCTTTGCATTCGAATCTTTGTCCGCATCCTCAATGTCCGCATCCTCATTATCACCTTCATCTTCATCTGAGTCTCCTGGGTGCTAAAGAAGAGAGATGAAGACAGCAAAGAAAAGAAACTAGCAAATACCCACAACTCCCAGCTCATACGCTATAATAAAAGGTAAAACGATCAGATACGCAAAGCAGCACCTGTCACCTAAACCAACCCACAACTCCCAGGTCATATGCTATCTGAAAAAAAAGATATAGGACACACGGAAATATGAGCCGACACTCGGCCTGCGTAAGCTTCTCGGAGAATGTCGAAGCCGTTTCTCTCAGCATTGGTTGACACGCAGCAAATCTCTCGTTGTTCGAAGTTCTTGCTCGGGAGATAATAGGCCCCAGGCCCCGTTGGGTCTCCGCCCACCTCCCGGAGCTGGAAATGGATGCGCAACATTTCGTGCCCATTTCCTTTGGAAAGGAACTCAAGCTTGCCACTGACCTGTGACGTGCATCTCTTCAAGAACTGCGCAGTAGCTAGCCGGCCTTGTCTCAAATTGTACACGATGGTCATAATCTTGGCGTTGGTAGCCTTGAGTTTGTCTTGCCAAGCATGAGGTTGTTTGAAGAATAAAACCTTGCGCTCCCTTCTATGCTTGCAAACCTCGACTTCCACTGCGTTGGCAATCAGTGTGGGTAAGGCTGCAATGGAGCCGTTCGGCATTCTCAAACTCCAGTACCACCTAGCACAACCCCACAACTCCTAGCTCACAAGTCACCCGCCGTACTACAAGCAACGACACAACCATAATAGCGAATGTTGATGAACACACAACTCCTTGCTCATGTGGTTCCAATAATCATGTTATATATAATTGCATCCCGTCTGTATGTAGTGCTTGGTTTGAAACTTACGTTTGACCACACCTGTTTGCATCCTTTGCCATGCAAGGGTTGTCATCCCGTATTCCAATGGCCCTTAGCATTCCTGTGGCGTCGAGAGTAGCTGTGGCATCTTCCTGAGACAGACCCAGACCTTCAGGGAAATGCTCCTTCGAGAAGTACCCTGTCATCGTCCACGCAGCGATGAATGCTTTGCGAGGCATGGATTGCCAGGCGAGAAGCGTTCTCTCAAGAAGAGTATCCTGGTTGAACGCTTTTGGTCGTTCTGGCTGTCCGTTCGCGCCAATTGGAAGGTCGGAGTATCCTTGGATCCCAGCTCAAACAGCCTAGAAACATAGTGTTTCTTTAGCACTGCAACTGTTTGCTTGCAAGAAATTGCAGTCAAAAGCACGTGGTCTCTTTCGCAGGTCAGCATGACATTGCACATCATCTGCATCTGTCAGCTCCAACCTAGCCCGCAGCAAGTGATGGATCTGGTCCACTGGTTGGCCATTGGCCGAAAATCCTCCAGCCTGCAAGGTGGATGAGCTAGGACTTGTGTGGTTCCCCAGAAGATGAGAAATCGTACTTCACAAGACATCTATACACAAAAGCCCATCGACAAAAAAAGATCCAACAAACGATTTAGCACTCAACACACCTGCAAAGCTGGCAGTTCGCAACAGTGCTGCTTGGACCATGCTTGCCGTGCCGCGTCAAGGCCTGTTTGAGAACTGTGAAAGCCAGACCACGCGTCGCAAAGCAGCAGTGCTCTCGCGGACTGATCGACGCCCAAACGACGCCGTTGAAGCGCCAACCCGGGCCCGATTAGGCCGCGCAGCAAGGACAAGAACGTGAGACGTAGACTCTTCGGACCGCATCTCCGAGCGAACCCTGGTGCCGTGGGCCGAAGTCGCGGGTGACCTCTCCGTCCCGAGGCCCGACCGGTCCGAAGAGTCGAACGGACTCCCCCCGTTAAGGGAAGAGACACAGAGACAGGGGGAGAGGAGAAAAAGTGAACCAAAAGTAGCTAGTTAATTTTTAATGTTTACTTATTTGGATGGTCATATTCCTTCCGTTCCTGTCTTCCCTTGAGGTTTCAAGAGGTTTGAGGCCATTTCTTAAAATTTAGGTTTTTTTGAAACAGTTATGAACGTCAATATTTTTGGATAGTTTCCTGATCAAGGCTTTGGCAGCCAATGCAAGAAGAGTTAGGAGTTGTAAGGACATTCTAA